AATGATTTCAGCGCCACCGTTATTAATTTATTTTTTTCATTGTAACTTTTTCCAGACACATGCAATTTATTATAGTGGATCAATCATTTAAAATCATCCCCCACCGTATCTCATTTACAATTCAATTTGAACAAGTTGCGTGTCACGATTCACTTAACTCTTAGTACAATAATTGGTCGGCACTTGAATAACATTTACATTTGATTCAATGTTTAAACCGTGTCTAAAACGAAACACTGATATTCACCGGACTTTGCCCACCGAATCAATTCTTTTTTAAACATCCTTGAACGATACACGTATTTCTTTATTCTACGAATCTTTTATCTTATTTTTATCTTTTTTGAAGCTTTCGTCAATTCGTCGATCGATATATTGGAGTGTAAACATAAATGAATGATTGGTAAAATTCATCTTTTTTTAAGGAAATAAATACTTCTTTGACAGTAGAAATGTCAAATCAATCAATATAATATTTCATATTTTTTGTTTTATTGAAGATAATTACTATTATTGAAGATAAATTAAAAATTTAATATTGTATTTTATTGAAATAGAAATATAGCGTGATATACTTATTTATTTCTAAGAGTAGATTGTGATCATAATGTATAGCTGACTGAAAAGAAAGAATGAAGAAAAATCAATTCAACACAAATGCGACATTGCTGACTGATCATTTATATTGCAATTGCAATCTGAACATTATATCTTTATTTTTTATATTATTTCAATTAAAATAACCTATAAAATAATTATCTTAATCTTAAAATAATTATATCTAAATATAAAATATTTAAATATTTATTAGAAGCTATTAATTTCAATATACATAATATTAATATATAGAATATATGGAATTTATAAAATATATGGAATAAATCTTCTTGAAAGATTGATTCTAGAAATTAAAATTATTATGTAAATTGATGTTTAATACTTATTAAGTTATAAATTGAAATTTGCGTTAAATAAAGTAAAATAGAATGAAATAGCTTTCTTTCGTTTCATTTAATACAAATTTAAATTGTTTATAATTATTAATAAATAAATTGAATAAAAATTTTTATATCAATTTAGATATTTGTTTTGGCTTTTAGAATTAATTCTACAAAAAATCATAAATATTTTTTTTTTTATTATTAAAAAACTTATTAAATTTTATTTTATTATTAATATAAATAAATTTTTATTTAGAATTTATCTCTTTAAGATATTAAAGATTTGAGAACTTGTTACATTTTACAAGATTTAAGAATTTAAAAAATGATTATTAGGATAGATATTAGGCAAGAAAATTTTCTCATCTAAAATCTTTTAAAGTAAAAAAAATTATTTATATTTATAATATCAATTTCTAAATATATAATTAATAATAATATAACAATATTCTTAATTATATTGATAATATATATTCTTTTTTTTTTATTTTTAACTCAATATATATAATCTTTTAAAGTAAATAAAATTATTGATATTTATAATATCAACTTCTAAATATATAATTAATAATAATATAACAATATTCTTAGTTGGTAATATATATTCTTTTTTTTTTATTTTTAACTCAATAGCATATTATTATATATGTTACATTTTATTTTGTTGTTAATATAATTGAATGATTTATTTATTCTATATATATTAAATATTTATTAAAACAAGATTGAGATATAAAAATTCCAAAAGTGCAGTAAGATTAATAAATTTCAAAAATTTTTTATCATATTAATTAGTTAAATTATAATGATCAATCTTAATCAATAAATTACAATTTTATAATTTCTATGAGTATTTAATCCTTTAGGAATATTTCTGTTTCCATTTTTTTGGTTTTAAGAGATTAAAATATTTATTTGTTTATTTATAATTTTTTACAGATATGAGATCTTGAATAAGCTTCATAAAGTTGTTTATCATATATAATCTATTTGCGAGAATTTACAATATAATCTTGTAATAATTTTAATGTTTAGTATTTTATATATTTCGAAGAATATATTTTGTCTCACTATTCTCTTTCGGAATTTTAATAGATATAATAATTTATTAATATAAGTATAAATATAATAATAAACATATTCAAAATATGTTTAATATGAAACAATATAGAGAAATATTTTTTATTATTATAGAAAGATCCGAGTTTGTTTCTCGTTTTTTCGAAAATTAGTACATTAAATAATTTGAATTTGGCTTTAATTTAATTCTCTTTTATTGTTTTATGTATCTAAAAATTTCAAATAAAAGAAACATTTAATTAAAAAATTTTATTTTTAATTATTTTTTTTGCTCAGTTTTTATAAAATCTTAATTTTCTTAAATGGAATCATCTA